GGGAAGGGGTTTTGGGTAGGGGTTGATGGCGTGTGGGTTGGTGCGATCGGCAGGCGGGAGGAATTGGCACGTGGCTGCGTCCATTGGCAACACAGCGCGAAGTAACTGGGTCGATTGTATGGCGGCATGGTTGTCGTCTGTGACTTCCTTTCTTGTTTTCGTCGTTTGGACGGTTGCGTGGTTCGTACAGCTGTACGAACGTTTCATATTGGAATAACCTTTTTTTTTTGCATCTCTCTCGGTTTTGGTTTTCTTTTTTTTTTAACATTTTTTTGTTTTAATTTATTTTCGTACTTTTATTTTTCGGTGACTGCGTCTTCAAATCGCATGTCTCGAATGTTTCGGTTTGGTGAGAAGTTTTCTTCTTTTTTTTCTTCTGCATCCTCAACTCCTTCTTCATTTATTTTTGTATGCCTCTTCAAATCTTCAGTCGCGCATGTTATCGTTCGCTTCTCTGGCGGGACGACAGACAGACGTGTTTTGCAATTGTTGATGCAAGCTGCTTTACATTAGTAAACTGCGTAACACAAAAAACAGACATAGATGAACATGGATTGCGTGCATGCATAGGAGTCGATCATCTGCAATCACCTTGCAATCATTCGACAGAACTTGACAGAAGACACGAGAACAACAGACACATCACATAAAAAAAGAGTGCGCTGAAAGCGCTATGAACTTCTCGCGCAGCGAACTGCGAATATAAGTACACAATACACGACGACATTGAATGATATCGTCGTCGACTACAACGACCGACACACTGCACACCTGTACCCCGACGCACCACAAACCATTCAAACCTATCAACCCGACTTCGTGGCAGAGGCGACGCGCTAAACAAGTGCACAACCGACGACGATCTTGCGGAATCCCTCTCTTCGACACACTAAACAGGTGCACTTTGCGTCGGTGCAACCCCATCCTCCCGCATGACAACCATCCACTACTACATGCGCGCGAGTCCACAGAAGCAGCCAAACCTCCGCTCCCATCCCATCCGTCTTCCTCCCCAGCCAACCATCAGCCCCAACCTCCCCCCCCCCACCCCCCTACGCGTCATCTTTCCCATCGTCGTTGTTGTCATCATCAGGGGGGCCCGAACCCAACCAATTTAGCTTCTTTGCATCCTCCGGCCCCGTTATGCTCGCGTCGTGCGTGAAAGCAATGCCGCAGGGCGCCCATTGAGGTATGTAGTTGGGGTACTGTCCGAACGTAGCGGTCGCCTTCCCTAGCCAGTCTGTGACGACTTTCGCGGCGCGGACGACGGATCGTCGATGATCGAAGGAGCAATGCATGGCCGCGACGAGTGTGCGCTTCGCCACGAGGTCCCCGAAGTAGAAAGCCTCGTAGTGGCTGCGCGGATCGTCTTCCGCCATGCGCATTATCCACATGCACGCCGCCAACAACAGCCTGAAGCAATCAGCCACCCGAGAAAGACGATCGTGCGAGATGAACTAGCCGTCGATGAGCGCCCCCATTTGCACGGCCGCCTAGAATGCATACGCGACGCGGATGACGGTGGACTCCTGGTGCGCCGCCATGTCGTCGTCCTCTAATCTGTCCTCGATGTTGGCGCCGGCGAACCAAAGCGGCAGGTCCATGGACAGATCTATCGTGTGCGCACAAATCGCCGGACTGACAACCTCGCACCACTCCTCGCCGTACCATATGGCAAGCGCAATGTCCGTCGCAAAGGATTCCAGCGAGTACTGGAAATCCACATGGTATCCCCTTGGCCGATTTCCGGACTTGAATACCCATCTATGCAAGATGCGCAGAGCAACGTTCTCCACTGCCGCCGCACGGGAGATCGCTTGCTGCAGCTGCGATTGGTAGACGATCCTGGCCACGCGCGTGATGGCTTTCGGCAGAACGACGCTCCGAGGGACGTCAGGCGCTGGAAGTCCACTGGCGATGGAGACGAAGTAGTCTTTCGTTTCGTGGACGATGTTGTATAGTCTTCGCCCCTCCCCCGTCGTCCAGAAAGCTTTGTCATCGACCCAAAGGATGGCACGACCAATGAGGTCTTCCGTAATGACACTCCTTCGTGGCCGACTTGAACCGGCCTCGCCTGCCTCCCGCTCGACTTTCCTCTCGCCACGCGCCTCCTCTCTCGCCGTCACCACAACTGCTGCATCCTCCCTCCCAGTCGCTACGGCGCCCACATTGCCTGAACCAACCGCCCCCACGACACTTGTCACCTGGGCGCCAACTGCGCGAGCGCCTGCCACGACTTCCCCCCCGCCAACACGTTGGACGGACCCTCCATCACCAGCGTCGTTGCGCTGACGTGGCTGAGACGGCGTGGCGGGCAGCCTGCCCGAGACTGGCCTATCGTTTGTAGCAACCCGCACGACCACCTCCAGCGGTGGGGTCGCGGTCGTACGAATGCGAATGCGGCGTCTCTCTAAGGGCTCGTCATCATCGCCACCAAGATCGATGACGGGAGCCTTCTATGTCCGCGTTTCACGGCCACGCAGTTGCGGCGCCTCGTATGGAGGGGTCTGCATCCTCTTCGAAGCAGTGCGATCAGAAGAGCGCTGCCAATCGCTCTCGCGTACTTCAGACGTTATCGCCTCCGCCTGCTCCTCCTCCGCCGTGAACTCATCGTCACAGTCCCCTTCCGCTTCCCCCGCCCAACCTTGCGCTCCACGACCACGAACCCTTGGCAACACATCTTCCGTACGCACACTCTTCGCTTTCGGGGCCTGCCGCCGCCCTCTTCCCTGCTCTTGACTATCGTCGACGACCACGTCGCGCTTCTTCCCATGGGTGTTCCCTCGCGTAGACATGTTTCGTGGCGACTTTTGAAGGCGAGCTTGGCAGTGTGATCGGACGAGCGGGAAGTGTGGCCGACCTGGCGAAAAATATGTCTCCCGTGAAAAAGGTCTCCCGTGCGGCTGTGGCGTGACGACAACGACGTGCACGTGGCAGACAGATGATCTGTCCTCTGCGGGAGGAAGACGCGACGACGACGGACATCCACGCGACGCAGTAGATCTCTCCTCCGTGGGACGAAGACGACGACGTGCATGTGGCACACAAGAGATCTGTCCTCCGCAAGAAGAAGACGTGACGACGACGAACACCCCCACGACGCAGGAGATCAGTCCTCCGCGGGAAGAAGACGACGACGTGCGTGTGGCTCACAGAAGGACGAAGGCCACGACGAGAGTAATCCGCGTTGAGAAGACTGGCGGCGAGAAGAACACAAGAGCGACGATCACAATGATCCGCGGCGACCAGGCTTGCAGCACCTCGTCGTTGTTGCGGGCAGCTTGCGGCAGGCGCGGCGGGCTGCTGTACTGGAGACACCTTCGCGGCGTGGACGACATACAGACGGGTCGGGATGCGCAGGACTTAAGTAGTCTTTCGGAGATGGACCTCCCGCGACGTCGCTTCTTTCTGGAGGGAAATGACATCGTCGACGGTGGCACGTGCGACTGCCCTGCCCACACTGCCGTGTGTTTTCCACCCCGAAGGCGCGAAAAGACCCTTCGACGTCCCTGGCGACGCGCGTCAATTCAGTCGCCAGGGACC